TACGTATATACAAATAAATTGCAATGTATCAGCGCATTGGCTTTTACGTCAGCGCCAATGCACACACACAAATTGAAACCCTAAACGCCGGCCAAAACATGCCAGCCAACTAAATGAAACGAAACTTTCAACGCAAGCGGCTGTCAAGTGGAGGCTGTGGCAGCCACTACAGCTGCACAGTGGTACAAGCATTACAGATGAACATTTTTCTATTAAAATAATGCAAAAATGTTGTGGTTATATTACAATTAATTTAATTTTTATTCTTATCTTAATTTTATAATTTCTATAAATATTCTACAGAGTATTTCAAAGTCGGGGCACCCGGCTTTAACTTTTCCGCCTGTTTTTTAGTCTTACTGTTTTCAATTGAACAAGAATACCTATGATGGGGGTGACAAAGAACAACACAAATAAGGTAACAAAAAGCACAATCTAATGGAGGGAACGGGCTAATACTAATACAAATTTAAACAAAAAATTAATTTAACACTATTTTATATGTATTCCGAATAAATTTAATAGAACATGGTCCATACTACCGTCCTTTCATCGTTGTTACTAAAATAAAGCAGATCCTGATGCGACTTCTTCTTCTTTGCTAACAATAATTGTAAATCAAATAATCAAATATTAATCATAGGCCCCGCCTTTTAACTAGGGAAGGTCACATTTAACGTTCTAAATAAACAAATGGCTTGAAATATGAGCAACAAACTGTATCCGCTCTTATGACGCAAGCTAATAATATACAAAACTATTTATTTACATGTTTTACTAAAATTCATCTATTGAACAATTTAACATTGATTAAGTTGCATCTGCAAGGATTTAATTTGTAGATTTTAACTACACCAGACATTGATGTTACTAAGCATTCCGATAGATGTATACTACATATATGTACATCTGAAATCTTAAAGAAAACGGACTCAAAATAAACATCAAGAGGAAATTTGAAGAATTAGGTCTCACAATATTTAGCTCATTGCTTCATTTATAAATATATACACATTGTACAATTTAAATTCTGATAATGTTCTTTTGAAATTATACAAGAATTTGTTCTACTAGATGGTAGTCCATAAAAATCCATAAAAATCATTCAAAATACAAGCTGCATAGAAGTTTATAATTTGGCTGAATCAAAATCAGAAATATATATTAACATATGCCGTCAGTTTCAATTTCGATTCGATACTATTTGCATAATATTCATGATTTTAATCAGAGTCTTTGGATCTAAAATGCTTCAATTATGTTTTTATCGTAAAGTATTGAAACTGGAGAACCGATGTTCAGGCACTGTAAGGACTGAGGCAGCACTTGGCAGAAGGCACTTGCTTGCACGTCATGGGTTTTGCTTTTTCTCGGCTGTCTGATATAGTGAAACTAAAAGTAATGGCACAAACACACAAATATACACATAAAGTATACGAATATATGTACATATAGTATACTAATTCAAGTATAGACATATATATCTAGCGTCTCTCCCTCACACGTTTTGGCACACATGCCACTGGTAATACGGCTCCCATTTCCTGTGCGCTTGATAAACCATGAAGAAATGCTGCCAACTGCTGTTGCTGAGTTTGGTAGTGCCAGCAAGGGCCAAAATAGCCTTGAAATGATTTTATTGGTGCTTCGCTAACTTTATGTACACGTACATGTGTGTGTGTGTGTGTGTGTGTGTGTGTGCGTTGCACAATTTTGCAAGTACTTTGTAAAATACATATCTGAAGTGCTTGAAAATTTGTAGAAATGCACACCCCAAAGCCCAATGACCGCCTTGCCAGCTTTATTGACCGTAAGGCCCCTTGTCCAATGTGGAGTGAGAACGTCTTGTTCGACGTAATAGTGGGGAGCACCGAGAATGCTTTTAATCACGGGCTCTGCAATTTTCGCTGCCTGTTTTTAGGCTGTCGTTTCCTGACTTTTGGCTTTTGGCCTATGTCCTACCTCCTGGCATATTAATCCCCTTTGACGTTATTTATTTTCATATTTATGGCATGCTTTCCATGCTGGTTTCTTTTTCGCGCTCATGCCACGTGGTAATTGCGCTAAATCCCTTGCTGACAAACGGCATTTATTTGTCGTTAGTTCTTGCATTCAATTTTTACATCGCGAATTTGTTGGCTAAGCCTGGTCCTACGCCCTACGCCCATTGTTCGTGCCATGCAGCATTGCATGACGATATGTAAAATGCGCAGCTTATCCGGCTTACTTAATACTGAGCTCACAAACATTAGCACATCCAAGCCAACCGTATTTTTACTGTAAAGAGTGAAGTTTAGAATGCATAGAACACAGCCTAACAGAGCATGCCTGATGATGTATGAATAAATGTATACCTCAGCTTACAAAAAGTGGAATATTAAAATCACACCAGTCTTACTTTTCACTCTCCACTCCACTCCGCTCTCTCCACCACAGTCCCTTAACTAGAACTGTTTTGAACAAACCGATTTTGATAAAACTTCAGATTTGAACAGTCAAGGAAGGAGTGAAGGAATATCATAACAACCACATTCCCAATATGCAATTTGGCTGCAAAATCTTTATAAACAATAAGGTTTTTTCAACATCATATCCAGCGTAGCGGAAGAAAAGGACAAAAAGTGAATATTTAAACTACTGTTGTCTTTAGATTTAAAAAGGAGGTGCTACATTCACATCATCGTCAAAACCAGATAGCATCACAAGAAAACAAATGACGTTTCTAAGAGAATACAACATTCGATTCGTCACAACTGACTTTGGCTTGCTTTTTCGGAACAAAAGAGTTACGGCACTCGAACGTAATGTTTTTACCATCTCAAAGAGCTTACCCTTATTATGGCAGGGGGAATATTTAATGCCAGAGAAATGACGCAACTGTCGCCTATAATGGCAGCACATAAAAACGATGCTCACTATCCGTACAATGTGCCATGGCAAATATTTATTGCCTACTCTGCACTATTTCCTAGCAGAACTTGGCCATTTCTCTGTCAGTCTCTATTCGTCTGTCTGCCGGTTTGTGTCTCTGCAATAAATGAAAAGCTCTGTAACCACTTGAGCAATGGGCCGCATTTGTTCCGTCGCATTTGATTTGCAAGTAAGGAAGCAGGCAGGCACTTGGCACAATTAGTTACAACGGTTTGGGTTTTTGTTTTGTTTTTATTGAAGTTTATTACTAAAATTAAAATTTATTTGAAATACATATTTGCTTCTCGTATTCATGACTTGCGATTCAGTGTTATTTATATTGTATAGCAATTAATTTAATTTCTAATTTTTTCTTATTGCTCGTATTTTATTTTTACAATTGAATTGAAATCAAAGAAAGCAATCAATGCATGTTTAAGCGCAAACATAAATATTTCATATTTGTATATTTTTGAACTAAACAAATTGGCATAAGCTACATTATATGTGCAAAAAATTAAATCAAAACTCATCCTTTGTGAGTTTTCATAATGGGCATATTAAATGCTAATAACTACATGACAAAAGGCGTATGCGAGAATCCTTTTAAAACATGAAATTATTTAATTAATACAAGTTAAAATATTATGCAGAGATTTGTCTATATTTTGTATATTGCCCCAAAATTTTATACTTGATTTTGTAAGGAACTAATGTATTTTTCGAAACACTCTTGTCTTTTTTATGCTCACTTTACTATTTTTTATTTCTCACTTACTTGACCAAAATATTTCTTGTTTCGTTTGATTTTTTTTTATCATAGAGGCCTTAAAATTAGTGTTTTTTATTTGTATGTGTTTTCCGTTTGTTAAAGTGTTTTTATATTGTGTATATATTCATAATTAAATACATCGAATAAATAAAAATAAAGAATCACGGAAGTGCGCTATAAAGACTTTGCATTATAACTCTTTGCGTATTAGTTTTATATATTTTTATATGTATATATATATATTTTTTTTTGTTTTTTTTTTTATTTGCTTTAGTTAATAAACAATGCCTTTTACTATTTATATTCAATATTTGTAGATATTTTCGTGAGTTACTCGCAATGCTTCTTGTTAAATAGTTAGTTATATTATGAATTTTATTGATTTTGTAACACTAATTTGTTTCGCTCTTTTAACAATAATTTAGAATTTCATACACAGTTGAGTGAAAATTACATCGATTTTCATTAGAGAATTCATCAATTGTTATAAATATTATATGCACCATCTTAAGATCACATGCAACGCGAATCTTGCATGTAATTGTTGCTCATGTTAGGCTTTCAGCAATTTTTATTAACAATTTCATAACGATGAAGAAGATTCTGTATAATTGTCTTGTCCCTTTGTCACAATTGGTACTGCTTTAAGAAGGAGAAAATACATTTTAGTTCATTGCCTCTTCATTAGTAAATGAATAGTCACAGGATATGACCGAGGAAGAATAACAATAATTTTATCCAATATTACGTGCCATAGTACAAAGTCACAGACCCCAAAATATACTCACTGTGACTTTGACGTTTGGGTAATATAGTTATCTATGTATGTAACGAAAAATATTGCTGGAAGCTTAGCTTTAAACAAGATTTCCTATTAGGAGCGGCGTGAAATATTAAAATAAAACCCAACAGCTACGCATTGATGCGGTTTTGAAGTCCGCGCTACGATTTTAAAACTACTTTGTTTTGTTTTTTATAATATCTTATGGAAAGTGCAACTTTATGTCTCTATTTAATCCTTTAATGTTTTATATTCGCTGTACTGTTTGCCTTTTCAAGAATGCGAGCAAAATCGTACAGATCAAATGTTCTTTTTTAAAAATCTCTAATTATCGAAGTTAGCGTACAATTCTTAGGATGAGATCTATTTATTTTTGTTACATGTAATGTTTATGTGCATTTATGCAATCATTTTTAGAATATCTTCACGTTAAGCTTTTTATCTTTGCTTGCGGGCTTCGGTTTACTCACTCTTTAGCATTCAATTTGTTGTATGTAGTATTAATACGCCAGCCGAGCAATTTTTAAAAGTGTTCAATATTATTAAATACGTTTATTATTAGTTACATTTTGCATTGGGAAGACTGTTAAAATTACAAAATATTATACAATTAAATATGCAAGTATTTTATGACTTTTAAAAAAAATTAAGTTTGTTTTTATCACACACACAGAAAAACGAAGAAAGTTATAAAAAAAAGAGAAAAAACATTTTGTCAACAGTAAATTTTGTCATCAATTTTCTTTAGTAGCTTGATTAGGTCCCGTTTACAGAATTTTTTTAAATTTTAATACCAAAGTAATAGTGAAATCAAAAGTAAAACAAATTTTAAAGCTTATCTTCATACAATTATACTGTTTTTTTTTTGTGTACGTAAAAGAACCAAGGAAAATATAGTATTCATAAACAAAATTCAAATTTCCAACTTAGCATAACTTAACGCTGTACGTTCAAAAGGCCGCCGCAAGTTGACCAAACCATGTAAAAGAGCGGGACTACCAGCAGAATGGTTGAGTAGCCAATGTTACTACCAGCATTGCAGCCATCTTCGTTGCAGCAATAAGTCTGGGTTTCCCAAATTTCTGTGGAAGCAAGAAAAGCCATAGCATTAGAGAGTCATTGAAAATGCAAGAAGTAAAGTAAATTATACAAAGCTATACAAATATGTGTGTTATATTAACTTGGTAGATATTTGTTAGGCCTGGTGCCAATTCTCAATTTCGCTCGGCATAAAACCAGAGGCCTATTTGCATATGATTATGCCTGATTATGAGTCTCGATTTCGGACTGTCTTGTGAAATCAAAAAAGTGTTGTGTGCTTTCTAATTCTTCGTCAGTCAGTCAATGAATGGCTAATTTAATTTTAGGACGAAAGGTTCCCACAACGTAATAGTTGTATTAAATAAATTGAAGCTATTTTAAACAATGGCACTAGAAAATTACAGTATCCAATTATATATTCTTGAATAGTCTACCCATTTCTTTGATTAAATATAAGTTGAAAACAACACTTTCGTATTTTTCTAACTTATTTTATATTGTTATCAATCAGTGCATTTGATTAGCTTTTATCCCAATGTAAACTGTCAATTGTGACATGACCAGCCATTAAACACTATCAACAATAAAACCACTTCAGCACAAACAAATTGCAAATGAAAACCATAATATTTGCTAGTCATGATTTGCAATATTCGCGTGACACTTCCAGTTGTGGAGTTGACTCGTATTGTGTAGTAGCTAAATAATTGATTTTCCAACGGGGAATTTGTATTTGCCAAGCAAAATGGCCTGGTTTGTATGATAAATTTTTCATAGTTAATGCATTGGCTTCCATTTTATTTTGTTGCATATTTGTTCTCACCTTTCTCAACGCATTCGGTGGCACAGTCGCGCACAGTGGACAGTTCGCTCACATATTTCTGCAACGAATCCGAAAAACAGAGAATAAAAATGAATACAAAATGTGACAATGGTAAAAATGCAAATATTTCATATCGAAGCTAATTAAATATCAACAAAACTAAACTAATTTACACAAAGTATAATCTGTTGGTCAACATGGCGTATGAATTGTTTAACTCTAAATGGTCGTTTGCTCGCTTGTGTGTAGCTTTTGCAGCACAAATAGATAATGATGGTCAAAGAGATATTCAAATGCAAATTTAACAAATAAACAGACATTTAATCGATTTTCGATTTACATGAAAATTATTCTTAACCTATTTATATTATAAAGTGCCCACACATACATTTAGGAGTATATACAGTTTATTTTGCATGTAGAATCTACAAACATACTCGTACATATACTATATAGTATGTGTATAATTGCCACGGCTTTTGACAGCTCCACGCTTTTCCCATGGGAGTCAACCAATCTTTGTGGCCGCCATGAAATTTTTAACTGTTAACCAGTTGGCGCACACATATACTGGCACATATATACACACATCCGTGTAACCACACAGCCGCATATGGCCCATATTGATTGCAAACCATCAAATGCAATTAAAACAACTACCACATCGCGGCCTATACTGCCAGTTACGAGAACGAAAATAATGGGCAGCAGTACATATTGTGGTCTATGCATTTTATATACGATTATAATAACTCGCAGACACACGCACGCAGCTGAATTTAATTTTCTTTTGTGGTCTATGTAATTAATTTTACACTTAATTTGCTATGCCTTCTACAAAATGAATGGTGTAAATGCAGTTCCCATAAATTAAATGCAATTATCGACGAATTTAATATTTAATTAAAAATATAGGTGATTTCATTTTGGCACAAGAAGCAAAACAAAGCTTATATACGAGTATTTTGTAGGAATGGGTGATAGTAGGAACACCCCTAATCACTAAAAATAATTAAGCAGTGACCGAATAGTGATTGAATAGTTAAATAGTGATAAGTAATCAATAATCCATAGTAACCGATACCAGGAAAAAAGAGGTCAATTGTTATTGACCAGTCAAAGAAGGAGGACGCTTAGTGAAATTTGAATTAAACGGACAATTGTGAAACATTGTTAATTTTTATAAACCAAAGTAATCGAACAAATTTGAATAAACTTAATTAATCCAACAATTTCAAATATAGTCTAGCAATAATTTGACGTATCTTACTTATATCCTGTACCGAACGGGTAAAAAAAACGGGTACATCAGATTTGGGCGGAAAATGTGGCACACAGAAGAAGGCATGTCAGAACCCACAAAGTATATATATACATATATTCATAATCAGTATGACCGGACGAATCGATATAGCCAAGTTTGTTTTAGTAGTAGTTTCCTAATTCCTGCAATTAAAATTTATACTACAATTCGGCAAATACAAAAATTGTAAAGGAAGCTAGGGCCCAGCAGCTGTTTTTATTGCAGCCTTCACGTTACTCTACTGAACAGCATATACGGACACAAGGCCTATGTAAATAAATGCTTTTAAAATTATAATAATTACCTAATTATAACAAATTGTCCATTTTACAATTTATAACTTTTTTGGTGAAAGAGTGGATACGGGTATTAAGAGACGGGCCCGCTCGCCTGAACCATTCCATTCTTGTTTTGTTATAACCTAAACCTAAAACGTCCTAAGCCATGAATTATAACAAATTCCTATTCGTAATTCAGCTGTTTACGGAGTCATGATTGCAGTCTGCATATAATTACCTTCCAGTGGCTTTGATATAATAGTCAAAATTGTTAAATTGAGTTTTTGCTAATTTTGAGAAAAATCTAAAAACTCTCTCAGGACCTGAGACTTACATGCCACACCTATAATCCACCTCTTGTGTCCAAAAAGCTATAAGTTGGAAGAATGCCGAAACAAATGGATTCCAAAGAAGGAATGTTAGCTACAAAATTCGTCTTGACAGGAGAATGGTGTTCGAAGACTAATGATGTTTTATGAAAATAAATATTCGTAAAAAAGTGACTATGACTTGATATAATAATGAGCCTACTGAGAAAGTCCTTAGGTCACCAAATTGCTGGAATATATACTTTGTCAAGGGTATCCTACAAAATATTCGACCCACCCACTATAAAAGGTATACGAGTTTTTGTTGCTGCTGCCTGTCTATAATGTGCGCTTAACGACTTTAAGACCGTTCCATATGTTGAACTATGCCATAAAATACAACAGATCATAAAATACACCATGCACTGAGCCCGTTGTGTGCGATAATGTTACGTACGTACCAAAGAGACACCTATGCATGCAAACCCCAGCAGTGTAAACAATTTTTAGCATACGCTTGACATTAAACTTTATGACAACATAAACAACAAACGTTCACACTGCACCCATCCAAAGAAAGTGCGCAGCTGTGTCTGGAGGTTGTGAAGAGCTTAAAATCTAATGGGTAAGCAGGCACAGTCGCTATACAGTTTTTCTGAAACTTTCAAGTAAATTGAAATAGCAGTTCTGTGCTTCGGCTATGTGCAGCGCTCATAAGTAGGCAACACTTTTTGCAATTGTTGATGCCACGCTTGGCCACCTGGGAAGTACAGCACAAAGTGTGTGCCCCATTAAACAAATATGTAATAAAAATGTGCAATAACAGCCTAGCCGAGGCGTGCAGCTAACCAACCAAACAGCCACGTAGGTCGTATAAGCAGCGGAGCTGTAAAAACTTTCACCTAACTAGGCCTGCATCTGCTAGCTCCATGATAATTTATATTACTTTAAATGCGGAATACCATTAGTTAAGGTTTAGTAATATATTATTAAATATCCATCGTTATAAAAAACTGCTCTCATTCTTCCGACGCACAACATAATAAAAAGGTTCGCTTATGTAGTAATAATGGCTGGCAGTTATAAAGAAGAGTTGTTTGATAGAGGAACATAGTTCAAAATTGAAAGTTAAGATTACTGTAAGGAAATATAAAATAAAATAAAAAAAATTAAAAATTAAATTAGGTAGGCTTAACAGAATCTCGGCATAAAAATAGCCGCATGCAGCAGGGCTGCAGACCAATGCATCGTAGGCATATGAAAAGACAGCGTTTAAGGGTGAATGCGCAATGCACTAGATAAGAAAGGCTTCGAACAAGTACATATGGAAGGGAAATCCACTTGACATCGTTAGGATAGAAGATAAGACAAAAAATGTGAAATTAGATTAAGTGCAATGTTTAGAGAATAAGAAAGAGTCAAATATTAAATTATTAGAGTAGTACATAAGAAAAACCTAGTAAATAAGTCAAAAATTGTATAAATACTTGTAATGAGGGAATTTCGGAAATAAATTAGAATGAATTTGGAAATTTAAGCATTGGTTTGTTTCCTTTTTGTTCTCCCAGAAATGAAGTGAAGCCTCGTGTAGTAAATAGTTTCTAGCGGTATAGCAAGGAACTATTTACAATTTCATTCTGTTCCTGTGATCACAAGAATGCAGAAAACCGTTTTAAAAACTGTTTTTGTTATTAGAAATACTCAGTACTCTTTATATTTTTGAGGTATCAGAAAGTTAAGCTTAAGTTTAAAATAGATAAGTAGTACACTAGTAGTCATATGTAATTATTTCTGCATAGCAACTGGTTCCTCGCATTAAACTAATTCGCACAACTCGATTTATGGCGAATCAGAAAAGGCATGCAATGGCGTTATTGTTATTTAATTACCGCAAGACAACAATACACCTGCAGTAAAATGCACAACTGCACTTTCACACACAAACAACAAGTTAAAATGTTCTGCGCCTCCGGATAGGCGGAATTGCAAACATGTGTTTACATCAGGCAACCAGCCAAGCAAGGCAGGGAGCAGAGTGGGCAGAAGGCAAGAGGCAAAAGGCAGAAGGCAGGATCAGCTCATGGACTGCGGTTGCAGCTTATGGAACAGTTAAAGTGCTTAATCGATTGAGTCGAAGTGCTGGGGTAGACATTGTATAGCAGTTAAGCGGGCGGACCAAATGGCTGGCCACTGGCGCTGACGCAGTCTAGCAGCTGGAGTCCTTAACGACTTGGCGTGCATTCGTTCGTTGAAACAATCTTGTGACATTTGCAGCTGGGGCACACCCATCTGGCAGAGTCAGCTTATTGTTTATGTAGGCAATGTGATCACAGCGGCAGCTTTTATAGCCCATTGCACTCTGGCCGGTTTCTGCTGCTGGTGGCACTTAACCCAGTTAACCAGACATAACCATAATGTTGACTTATTAAAATTGCGCCACATACGCATCGCCACACTCAAGCAGAACCTGTGGTCTTGCAATTTGCGATAACTGTGCCGTTATTTAAATATACACACTTGACACGCTCATATTGTTACCAATGCGTATTTACGCATAAATGGTACTGTTATGTTCATTACCAAGAAAACAGACGACCAGGCGACCTAACCACCAAAGGGCAACCTTTTCCTGATTACTTTGCATTCCTCTTCCTTTCTAAATGTGATGAAATGGATAACATAATTTAAAATTGTAATTATTTTAATGTACAATATAATATAACCCTTAGTTTAATATCATATAAAATGTCAACAGCCATAAAAATTAAGCATAAAGCGTGTTGAAATGAGTATTCTACTTTATGAATAATGCTTGCATCATCATAAAATAACACTCTTCACCCTTAACAGGTTGTGGTCAATCAATCAATTTATTTCATTCAAAATAGTATCCTTCTGCTTCAAGACAGCGTTTTTTCGATCCAAAAGCATGTCGAACGAGTGTTTTAGCTCGTTGGCCGGTATGGCCAGTATGCCGGTGCAAGCCTTTTGAATGGCCTCTACGTCTGCATAACGCTAATTAATGGTTAAAATGTGATTTTTGGTCAAATAATCGGTCAAAAGCGTCGATCGATGAGAGCAATTTATGGTCGTCAGTCAATTTGTGCGGAACAAACCGTGCACACAAAATGCGATAAATCGATGTTTTGGAGATGTTCAATTCCATTTC